TGTTAGCATTAACTTGAGAAAAAGGTTTGAATTTGGTCAAAGTCAAAAAAGGTCTCCAAATTGCACATGTTGATAATAATGAATACCATAACTTTAGGAAAGGAGCAAGTCACCATGGGCTATATTTTGGATTTGTTGAAGAATTGAATTTTATTCGTGAATTTTTAAATTTTTTTGTAAAAACACCCGTGAAAAAGTAAAAAGAATAGGTTAGCCTAGCCTGCGTTTGGTTCTCTTTTTAAATTATAATTATAATTAAAAAAATTTAATTTTTTTAAAAAAAATTTATAACCAAGTATATAATTTAAAATTATTCAAAATTCAATTTAAAAATTATTTTAAAATTCATAATCAAACACATAACTCAAAACTCTTTTCAAAATTTAAAACCAAACTCTTTTAAAATTCTATTTTAAAAAAATTCAAAAAATATATTTTTTGTTTTTAATTTTTTAAATTATTTTTAGAATCATAATTTGAACGTGAAGCCGTATTTTGAGTTATGAGTTTTGAGTTAAATTTTGAAAAGAGAAATAAGGTTGCGTTTGGTTCTCTTTTGAAATTATGATTCTAATAAAAAAATTTCAAAACTTATAACTAAATACACAACTCAAAATTATACAAAATTTAATTCAAAAATTATTTTAAAAACTCAAAACCAAACACACAATTCAAAATTTTTTTCAAAATTTTATTTTTAAAAAAAATTTGTTTTTTAAAATTATTTTTATAATCACGATTTGAGTTTGGAGTTGTGTTTTGAGTTATGAGTTTTGAAAAACGAAAATTTGTTTGGTCATGAGTTTTGAAAAGAATTTTGAGTTATATTTTGAGTTTTGAGTTGTAATTTGAAATTTTTTGGATTTACTTTTAGAGAAACCGTATAGGAATTTAAGAAAATTTTATTTTTATTTTAAATATTTATTTATTATTTATTTTAATGTGCGCTATGTTTCATACTTTGTGTGATGTGTTGTTTTAAAATATTTAAAATATTAAAAAATTGAAAAAAATTATTATTTTTTATTTCAAATATATAATTTTTATTTTATAAATATGTTTTTAAATATTTTAATTTTTTTGCTATGTGTTTGGTTACGATTTGACTGTAGAGTTTTGAAAATAGTGTGGAGTTTCGAGTTATATGTTTGGTTATGAGTTTTGAAAATAGTTTTTGATCATAAGTTTGGTTACGATTTGAGTATGAATAGGGATATAAATTTGGCTTGACCCAACCCGGGCCATGTGGGGCCTCGCTGGCTTCTACCAAAATTCGGGTCGGTTCGAACCAACCTACGGGTCAGAGACTTAGGCCCAAGCCCAAGCTCAGGGGGTATTCGAGCCTTGGGCAGGACCTCGGCCTTGGGCCTAGGCTCAAGCTTAGGTGAGCTTGAACATTTTTTTTTCATTTTTTTCATTTTTTCTATCCAAATTTTATTATTTTCTACAAAAAAAAGATACTAGGCCTCGGGCCGGGCCTTAAGCGGGTCTGGAGCCGGCCACAGACTGGACATACGGGCCGAATTGAGCTTCAAAATAATGGCTTAGGCCCAAGTCTAGGGTCTTGGACTGGGCTCGGGCCTAAACGGGTCGGGCCCACCCTAAACCATAGACGGGCTTCAGGCCGCCCACGAGTCGCGGACAATTTTACACTTCTAAGTGTGGAGTTTTGAAAGTAAGTTTTGAGTTATGTGTTTGGTTATGAGTTTTAAAAATAGTTTTTGAATTGAGTTTTAAGTTATGTGTTTGATTACGATTTGAGTGTGGAATTGTATTTTGAGTTTAAAATATTAAAATTTAATTTTTTTTAAATATTTACAAAATAAAATAAAAAATTAAAAATATTTAAATAAAAATTATATATTTAAAAAAAAAAAGAATTTAAACATTTTCTAATATTTTAAAAAAATAAATCCAAAAATTTTCAAAATACAACTCAAAATTTAGAAACTCAAAACTCAGAATACAAATTTTTTTTTTCAAAACTCAAAACTTTTTTCAAAACTCAAAAAATCTTTTTAAAACCCTTTTCAAAACTTATAACCAAACAAATTTTCTCTTTGCAAAACTCAACTCATAATTCACGCTTAAATCACAACTGCATACTTTATAATTCCAAAATTAAACCAAACGAAAAAAAAAGTTTATTAATTTTTTGATTAAAATATTTAATTCCTTAACATATCCAAACGTGGCCAGTGTACTCCTAAAACACTAAGTAGATGTTTGGCATCACCTAAAAAAGTTAAAAATTCAGTAAGTCACAAAAAAAGCAAAAAACTTAACACTATTCATATGTTTAGGCAAGAAATAAAAGTTTTAATAGACAACGGATAAAAAGACATATATGCCCCTAGTACACTCCCCTTCCAACAATGCACTTTTTGGTGGAAAAAAAAAATCAAAGTAGTGCAGTACAGTGCACTGATGCGGCTGACGTACAGTGTAGTACATCACACTCACTGATGCACGGACAGTGCTCAGAATGGTATCAAAGTAATTTTATTAGTTGATACAATATTTTAATATATATTTTTTCGTAAAAAGTCAAAAAGTTATTCTAAACATACATCTTTTTTTCCTCTACTTTTTTAACCAAAAAGTTAAAAAGTACACTTATATAGTTCATCCCAAACAACCCCTAAAGGTTGGATTTGAATTAAAAATTTATGTAGAAAATAGTGGAAGAGAAGGAAACGAATTTAATTTTAATTTTAATTTCTGTTTTTTCACATATTCTTCTAAAATTCTTAGGGTAAGTTACATTTAGCACCCCTATACTTTATACTAAATATCACTTTAATCCCTACACACGAAATTGTGACAATCAACCCTCTGCAATTCTATTTAAGTGTCATTATTCCCCTTTTTTGTTACTCCACCGTTAAATGTATTTAACAGATATCAGTAATGTGGCAAGCATATGACTACGAAATAAGGTAAAAGAGGAAAATCACCAACATTTGTGCCTATACACATTTGGTCCCAAAACTTACATTAAATTATAATTGTTTTTTGCTAAAACAAACGTAACTGGTGAACGATTAAGGACTAAATTTTATAGAAATTGGAATCACAAAACTCTATTTTTCATATTAACACAGTTTTTCATCAATTCTTCTTCTTCTTTTCTCTTCGATTTCTCTACTGCCCATTTTTTAAATATTTATTTCAAAAGCTCCATTTTCTTACTTTTTCATCCCTATTGTTAGCATATGAACATATATGTGTGTGTATATATATATAACTCTTATATATTTATCACGCAGGCTAAAGTGTGTATTAGTGGAAAATGGGAATGGATTTTCCCTCTTACTTTCATTTCATAATTATATACTTGTCATATGACTAAATTTTGTTAAAGACTTAAACAATAGAGCAACAAAAGGGAAATATTGACACTCGACCAAAAAATGTAAGGGATTGACTGTTATAATTTTATGTGTAGAAAACAAAATGAAATTTGGTGCAAAATATAGAGATGCAAAGTATAATTTACCTAGATTCTTAATATAAGCACATCTTTGTGGAACAAAAAAATAAATAAAAAAACATGGGGCTAACATGTTTCCCTTGTCCCATAATGCTTTTCGACACCATAAGGTAATGCTTTATTTGTCGGAATGATGGCAATGCATTAAAGAAATTCTTTCACATACTCACAAATCTTTTTTTTTTTTTTTGGTGAATATTTTTGGGTGAATAACATACTCACAAATCTCTCTCCAACAACAACCGTATCAATACAAGGAATGATCTTATAATGATAAATAAATAAATAAGTAAAATCTTGTAATAGAGAAAGGATCAATTTTTGTCATGATTGATCCTTAACCTTTGAGTTAGAATGAATAAAATTGTCTAATCTTGAGTCAGTTCAAACTCAAGCGCTGCCATGAGAAATTGGGGTTGGGCCAATGGTGGTGGTCTAATAAGAGAGATTATAATGGTTCTTAGATTGCTGGTTGAAGAAATTGTAAATTTGTAAGATTAGAAATAAAAATAAATAAAAACTGAATTGCAATTTTGGCACTTGCATGAGCATTGACACAAAGATTTGGGCCGCAAAACACCGCTGTCTAACTTGAATTTAAAGAGAAAGATTGAAGTGAAAATTGATGCAAAATTTGATATAAACTTATTGGAAAAGCTTATGCATATGTACCCTATCATAAATTAACGTAATGTTATTATAAAATTTCATAATATCAACTACAAAATGCGTAACCTCACCACAAATTAGCGTAATAAAAAATATCATAGCAAAGTCACAAATTTTTGTAATCTCACCACAAATTAGAATAACAAAATATTTACGATTTCGTGATTAATATTACAAAAATTTATGACTTGGTTATAATATTTTTTATTATATCAATTTGTAATAAAATTATATATTTTATGATAAAATTACGCCAATTTATAGGCATATGATATGTATCTTTAAAAAGAGTGTTCATAGGCTTTCCCAAATCTACTAAACCGGATAAAATAGTAGATGCCAGAGGCAAGACTTGTAATAGTCTTTCACCACATAAAAGAGAACCGTATGAAAATGTGGAATGTTTGATTAAAAAAACAAACACACAAAAGTATATTTTAGAAGTCCTCAATATATATATATATATATATTTAAAAAAAAAAAATTCACCTCAGAAAAGAAAATCGTATGAAAATGATGAAGACTTTTTATTTTTTCATTTTAATCACCAAACTAGGGTGTTTTTTTTTTTTTTTTTTTTTTAAATAAGAAAAGAAAGTAGTAACTGATTCTGAAAACAAAGCCAAAGAAGCAATATCTCCCTTGAGTATCAAGCATAAAAATATGACACTTTGAGAAATTGAAACTTGCAATCAGCCGGGATCCTCAACATGGTTGCAAAACTGAGATTGACAACAACTAGCCAAAGTTTTGTGCTCTTTATCTGCAAATCAAGCATGACTCAAAAGATGATACACAAGCATTTTGCCAAATAGATAGAGCAACTTGGACATCAAAATTATTGAACAGGAGCTTTTTTCAACCTTCAAAATACATACATACATGCACGTATTTTTTGGCAAACTTGCCGAAAGATTTTACTTGCCACAGAGCAACAGAGCCTTCTGTCAAAAATAAGTGTCACTCGCAGCCCATTTGTGAAGTATACAGACAAAATTACTGACTTTTTTTTTGTTCTCATTATAAAATTCTTGCCAATTTATGAGGTATACAACATTGCTGGATGTATACTACCATATACATTGAATGAGACCAGGCTGCAAAACTTGCTGCACCATTTGTATACTAAACAAAATCAAATATCACATCATTTTGTATACTATTAATATAATGCATAATATGGCCCTCTCACGGAGAGAGAGAGAGCAGCCAACCTGCTATAGTCGACAACTGAATTCTATCTCATCTTCTTTCCACTAAACTTTGGATTTTTGCACATACGGATGCTTAATGGTGTAACCTCCACAAGTTCATCTTCCTGAATGTACTCTATGCAGTCGTCCAGGCTATAATCCAATGAGGAATCAAGAACCACTGCATCCATCAAGGTGAGAAATTTCTCGTTATCAAGTCTAAGAAAGCAAAGCTTACTGCTCCAAAAATTACTTTTTAAATGCACATTTCGCTTCTGTTTCTTGGGCTTCTGAATAAAGTGCAAGGTCAATAGCACCTCCGAGGTGCTTCTCAAAAAAGTTGAATTTCAGCTTACTCTAAACTGTTTTCAAGTTTAACAAATGCCTCATTAAAAGCTTTTGCTTCAATAACCTATGGCACTGCACATTTGGGAACCCCAGATGGGGTTAAAGAGTGGGAACCAACCAGAGTCTAACCAATTTAGGATAATATATAATTAAACCTAACGACTTTATGACTACCACCATTTTCATGAATACTAACAATTACAGTCAATTCATTTTTTCATATTTCTGTTTTCCTTTTACACGTTTTTCTATACCTATAATTACTAGTCACTACCTATGTTACGTGGATTCGAGTACGGGTGTGGAGGTCGGGTATGTGTCCAAGTGTATGATTCATCTAACTCAAATTATCAGGTTGTGTTTGGATCTTGAATTTCTGGAGGAAAAAAAAAAGAGGAAAGGGAAAAAAGAAATGCAGAAGCATTTTTTTAATTTTTTTTCCTTTTTTTTTTCTTCCTCCCCAAATATAAGATCCAAACATAGCATAAAGAGATTTCTGAATTTGATGATGAAAAGAGCAAAATTTGAAGCTTAGATTGTATATAAACTAAAGAAGCCACACGAAGCGATTTGCCAATAATTTGATTGAGCGACATTTGTTTCCAAACAAAAATTGAGCAGTGTATTTGAGCAATTCGTCACCTGTTTGCTCTTTGTTGGAACGAACATTTGTTGCAGCCTTTTTCTTGCACACGTTTAAGGATAAGTCACCAGGCCGCTGATGAATGCCTATTATTTGGCCTTTATAAACATCAAGTCCAGGACCAACAAACATTTGCCCCCTATCTTGTGAACTAGATAGAGCATATGATGTTGTGGTTCCATCTTCAAATGCAACCTAAAATCAATCCACTTTGTAAACTTTAGTATAACCACTGCTGGTGAACGTACCGTCCTTAATGTAATAAATTCATTCCAAATGAAGACCATTTTTGTTAATGAGCAAGTCTGAAAGTATAATAAGAGGTTCCAATAGAAATAATTATAAAGCCACTGCAGGACTTAATCTTTAGCTAACAGCAGATCCCTCAGATAATGCATTAAAGAGATTTATGAAGGCAGAAAAATGTACCCATAAACTACTATAGTACTATTATATTAGTCATAACAGGTAAAATTCTACTATACATAAATATATATTTATGTCCATAGTGCTTTTAATATACGTAATATGTTTATAACTTAAATTATTTATCAAAATGATAAAATTGAACTAAAACAGGGATAATATGGAGGCCATGTAACTACCACTTTCATGATTATGACAACACTGGCCAGGGCTTTCATCATCATGACCAGTGAAACCCTGAAAAATTAAATTCAATTGAAGCGAGAAATTTACCAGTGATCCCTGATCACGGGTGGTAATGTCACCAGCCCAAGGTCCATAGCTATCAAATATTGTATTTAGAATTGCCGTTCCCCGAGAAGCAGTTAAAATTGCATTCCGCAAACCAAGGAGCCCACGAGTGGGTATCTTATATTTAAGGAAAGTTGTTCCTTCCGACCTAGTGGACAAGTGAAGTTAAGATTGTCAGGAAGATGCGAAAAAGAATAACAATAATAAAAAATTAAATTAAATTAAAGAGTAATAAAGAAAGGGGCATACCCAAAAAAGAACTTCAAACAACTCAATTAGATTTAACATTGTAAGAATGATAAAGACAATTATTGATGCAATTTCTATAAAAGGGGTCACAGAACCTTAAATTTAACTCAAGAAAAGTTAATATTGAATGCATTCGGAAGTCAAGGAAACATCACTGATTCTTACATGTATGTTGTATTATGCCATCGCAAAATTCATTTGAAAGTTGGAACAAACAAGAACCACATAAATGCACATTGGCAACAAGAGCATTTCACATACCCTAGCCCTTGCATATCAAACATCTGCCCACGCCTTTTACCAAGAAGTTCAACAACAGGTCCCATGTGTTGTTCTGGCACCTCCACAGTGGCAATCTGTTCAAAACACACGCTAAGTTAGTCCTTTCATCACTAAAGCCTTGAGAGCAAAGTTGATGACATCACAAAGGCCAGCATACAAGATTTTGCTAGGATTGGAAGATCATGTCCTCTTCAGCTAGTGTAATCAAAATCGTTGCTTCGATCGGTTGATTATACAAGAATAATCATATATGTGCAGAGCAATTGATACGTTCAGCCATTAATAGGCCATTAGATGATACCCGATTACTTAAAAAAAGGCGATTAGATGGGCCTTCAGAGGTATATAAACAATGCTGATGAATGTTCTGACTTGAAGGTGCCAACCAAGTACTCTCTTACTAGTTATACTGGACACTTAAGATCAATCCTGCCTGACTCCATCTAGGTTTTGAAAGAACAGAGAGAAAAGAGATAAGAGAGAACTCTCCGGCCTGTTCCCTAACATTGAACATAACCATTTGAAGTATTCTATAAACTCTTTAAAGAGGAAAGGAGGGAAAAAAAAAAAAAAGCAACATGAACACACAAGCATGCTGTTAGAATAACATTAAAGCATATCAGTATAAAGTTTGGGAGCATACACATCTCTGTCCTTTTCTATATTATTACAAAAGAGAAAATAGGAGAAAAATCACCTCAAAAGGTTCCAGCAACTTGTCATCCACCCTTTTATTGATCACTTTTGGTGGGCCCACCATGAATTCATAACCTTCCCTTCGCCTGATAAGCAACGTTATTATACAAAATATGCAAGTTCAGAACAATACAAATAAGAGTCACAGCATAGCTTATACTTAAAACTTACATGTTCTCTATCAATATGGTAATATGCAAAGTACCCCTTCCACTAATAATGAATGTATCTGCAGTTTCACCATCTTCAACTTTCATGGCCAAATTTCTCTCAAGCTCACGATAGAGACGATCTCTTAAGTTTCTACTAGTAACATACTTTCCCTGAGAGCAAACATTGAAAATACCAAACTGTCAATGCCATACCACAATGAGGAAATGCTTATTAACTGCAAATGTTGATAATACAACCTAAGTAAGGCACATGAAGCAGTTAGGTTCTTATTGCCACAGATGGTAATAGAAGAGTTAAAAATTGAGAAAAATGAAGTGAAACATGATTAAAACACACATAAGGAATGGGAACCACCAAACCAGGAAGAAATAAGAAATTATATTAAAAGTTTAAAAGAACGTACTAAAAAGGTTTGATAAATAAAATGGAACACACAAGAACTATAATGACAAGTCCAACTAAGGGAACAATTAAAGAATCTTGTAAAAAATGTCATGTATCATCTTCTCAAAAAAGGCTTCAAGACCACAGAGAAAAAGAAAAACCCACTAACTACATTTCCCATAATTTTTTGCTCATCTTTTCCTAGCAGGTCTTTTTTTTTTTTTTTTTTCTCCTCAAAAGTTCCCAATGAATTTTCCTGAAGGTTCTAGACATTTCTAAAATGTTCCCAGTGGTTTCCCCTAAAATTTTAGGATGTTCCATTATATACAAAGGTGACATAGTAAGAGAGTTTTGTACAGTCCTATGTAAAATTACATCAAGGCTGTGTTTGGATCAAGCATTTGAGGGACAACTTGTGAAGGGAAAGGAAAAAATAAGGGAAAGTGAATAATATAAACTAAATTTCTGGATTTGCTGTTTCTAGATAAGTCCCATAACTCTGTTTTGCTGGTTTTGCACCATATGCATTTCTGGATTGCATCAATATTTATTATGTAATTGTAACTAACATCATAGTAGATTAGTGGCCCTCATGTTCTTTTTACAGTCATAATTTTTTTATTGTATATTTGATTTATTTTATGGATCCATTGTATTTTACTTGATAATTCTAAATTTGTTAAGATTCTTTCTACTTTTCTTGAACCTCAATTGCAGTGTATTACCCTACGTGGAGTCAACACATCATGACCAATCATACCAAATGCTCCTACACATTGACCAAGAGAGAGACTTTGAACCATGATGGCTGTAGCATGTTTCAGCTCTAGCCTTGGCCCGAATTGGAAAAATTGTTTTCTTGTGTCTAAGCCGTCTAATTTTCCAAAATCTCAATCAAAGTACTGCTTTGAACTGCTGTAGCATTTGTTAAACGGATACGTATTAACAAGAAGTGCCCTTCCGTCCAGAAAAAAACTTTGTTCTCTATTAGTTACTAATAGATTTAGTTGCTTTAAAAATTAAGAAATCATGAGGCTTGAGCTTCACTCATGCAGAGATCCCAATAGCATGATTCAAGCATTCATGCTTTGTTATTCTTAGGACACTGATGCACACTGAAAAGTTCAGATCTAATATAAATTTTATGAATTTGTAAAGTTGAAAAAGAAATGTGATACCAGGTTTTGAGGATGAAACAGTATATAATGTATCAAGAATATCTTATATTGTTCATAACATGCAACAATACCCTTAGGGTCTGTTTGATTGACAGAATTAGAGTTTGGGATTGGAATTATTAATTTGTAGGCCCAATAATCTTGTGTTTGTTTTGAAATTTTGTTTCAGGATTATTAATCCAATGGATAATTAATCCAACAAATTTGTAGGATTATTAGTAATGGGGTAAGGATGTGATTATATATCCTGAGTTAGGAAATAAAATGAAAAGACTCTTTTACCCTTGACTAAAAATTAAAACATTCATTATTTTTATATAATTTTATATTTTAGAAGGCTAAAAATAATTTTTTTTAATTTTATTAATCCGTAGGTCCAATAATCCTGTATTTGTTTTAAAATTTTATTTCAGAATTATTAATCTAATGGAAAAATAATCCTATAAAAAGGCTAAAAATAATTTTTTTAAATTTAAAAATATTTTTTTTGATATTTATTTTATCAAATTAATTTATATTTTTAAAAAAAAATTAAAAAACAAACAAAACATGGCCTTTGTATTTTATATTTTTATTTTGATTTTATTTATTTATTTTTAATTTTTTTCAAAACTACATTTATGAAGAAATTTTGATAAAGTAAAGATTGTGAAGAAACATTAATGGAGGGTATGATTGGAAAAGAAGATAAATATAGTTGTAATCCTACATTCATATATTTTCTTGTCCAATGCAAATCAAACAATGGACAAGGAGATAATTTATCCTACTAATCTAATTGGATAGTGAATACCACACTAATTTGATGTGATTATTAATACTTTCACTATTAATCTTGTGAATCAAACAAGGCCTTAAGGTACTGTTGCAAATTCTCTGGGCTGGTCACATCATTATCAAGTAACATTACAAAAGATCCATCCAGAAACAGATGAACACGAGAATTTCAGATTTCCCAACTTGTTTTTGACAAAGGGACATGACCCATGAATTAGGAAGAAATCACATGAACACGAGAATCATGCAGCAAAGACTTACTAGTATCAATGGCTACAAACTTCGAGAATAAAATTGTTTTGATGATTCAATCAGTACTAAATTGTGAATCTAGGGAACAAAATTTCTAAGTCACTGTTTGATAGCATACCTCTCTTACCCAAAAAATAAATAAATAAATAATAATTAAAAAAAAAAAAAAAAAATCATTTTAGGGTTTGCAGATGATTTGATTGCCCCCATTCCACAATTTCGTTAATAAATGGCAAAAAATGTTGGCTCAAACAATCAAATTTATTACAAGAGAGATTTGAGATCATGGTTTAAAATTCGTAGATGATTAACTTTCAAATTGAACAAAAACAACAAAATGCAAGCTATATAAGATTTCCAGAAAACAACAAAGCATGAAAAATTACCATATTTACGGCGGAGATCAGGTGGCCGGAAACGAAGCGCCGGAGAATTTTCACGTGATTCGCTGCTCTCTTCCCACCGTTTCCGGCAATGCTCTCTCTCTCTCCCTCGTGAAATTTCTTCAATTTTTACTGGATTAAAAACCTACCCGTGTATATACATACATACATGTATATATGCAGTTGAGAATGGACGACCCATATGTCATAGACTTTGTCGTGATTGGCGGAAACACGTAGATAGGATACGTGTCATGCAATGGTTGGTTGATTTTGATACACGTAGGACTCCTTGTGGGGTTAGAGGTGTAATTCCGGAAAAATTATAATAATTTAAGAAAAATGCTTGAGAGCACTAATTAGTGCTCCCACTAATTAGGTGGCAGTGGGTCCCGCCATTAATGATGTGATGTTTTGGTCTTGGAGTTGTATTTTTTTATTTTATTTTTTACTTTTTTAATACATTAGTGCTATTAGTGGTGATGTTTTTAGTGGGATGAATCATTGTTGATAATTTAAATATAGATAAAAAAATTGTCCAATGGATTTCATCGCTTTTTTGTATATCTTATGTGTATCCACACAACAAACATCATGTACACATACATATAAAACAACATATTCAAATAAATAATGATTACATGTAGAACCCACAGTAGATGCCTCTTTTTGACTAGTTCTAAAACTTACACACACCTTTAAAAAATTTCCCTATGACGATAACAACACTAACTTGAATTTCAAAACAATCAGAAAAATTATGGCTTTTTCTTGAGAAATGGACTAAACAATCCACCTTTGAACCTTGAAATCCAAAAGAGTGAAGAATAAGGGGATGTTTTGTTAGGTTCTTCTCTCCATCGGAACAATAGGGCCTTAGAGTGAGGTATTATGTACTTAAAATTGAATTCAAAATAGATTATAGAAAAATGATCCAAAAACCCTTAGAAGTCCCTTGAAAAGGTCCAGTTTTCATGCAATCTTTCATAGGAAAAATCCTTTGGTTTTCAAAATTGGGCAAAAAAGAGCTTTCCACTGGCACAAGTTTAGTTCAAATCCAATTAAAACAAAGGAATAGTAACTATTTCATGATTGTAGGGTTTTCAAATATAAAATTATCATGATATGAAAAATACTACATAATATGCATAAAGGACCATATATTTCAGCTCACAGACAAGTGTGCACACACAAATAAAGTAGGAATTTTCTGTACTAGAAGTTCTCAGAATAAGAGAGAGAATTTAAGCAACACAGGACTCCATTCAGTTCTTGTTATGAATGAAAAAAGAAAAATAGCCTAAAAATGTCAAGGGAAGCATTCTATGGACTACATTTTCTTTTATTTTCTCAGGTTTATTCTAGAATCTGAATGGCAGGTATCAGGCTAGTATATTCCCAATTAAACAACGTACGCGAAAGTCCCAACTGTTTATACTCCGTTTACAAAGCAAAAAAGTTACAAAACCGAGGATGAATGCATAGATGTGCCGCTATGATTGCAGCATGTGTTGGACCCACATGAACCCACAAATCTTGCAAACAAATTAAGCTAGGTTCCCAATAATGCACCTGATCAGCCCATATATTTTTAAGATGCTTAGGGAAATTTGTAGAGCATGAACTGATGAGTTCTAAGCCCAGTAATAGTATGGAAGATTCTAATTGTTAGAAAACGAATACATTTCAACTTAAAATTTCAGCAATTGCTATACAGAGTGCTATCATTGGTTGAAAGGGCCAAAACTAAAAAAACATGGGAAATGAACGACAAAGAGAATTCATTGGCGCTCGATAGTTTCATCAGAGATCAATCGAACGAATAACGTGATAATTTCGTCGTCTTAGTTATCAAACAAACAGCATAAATTGTAAGGAAAAAAACTTGAGAATTTCCTCCTTGCTTTCTTTCCCTCAGTTTTTCATCAAACAACCAAAATACAATCAGAAAACAACCCCTTTTAAATAATAATAATAATAATAATAATAATAATAATAATAATGGGAGACAAGCCCACATGGGTGGAATAGAAAAAAACATGATAATTATGTATAAATAAAAGAAAGGTGAAGACAATCTGAGTGGGTTTGATTAAATAAAGAAAAGATGAATGGGTTTTGTCCTTGAGTAGAGAGAGAGAGAATTTACCATAATTCACATCCACCTACCACCTCCACTACACTTCACCTACCACCTCCACTACCACCTTCACCTACTCCCAAATCATATCCTATATAAACAGCATCTCAACATTTGTAAATTACACTATAACAATCTTGTAATATAACATATATCAATCTATAATACATCAGTTTATTTTACAAAAACAAGTTTTTTTCTACCTGAATATCATCAATACCACAAACAGCACAGATATCACCAGCCTCCACAGCCTCTGCAGCAACCCTACTAAATTTCTCATACACAAAAAGTTCACTAACTCTTACATATCTGCATCTCTCCTCCGTTGTGCATACCTTCAAAGATTCAAATGATTAAAATTATTAGATTTTTTTTCTATTTCCACAGAAAAAAAACCATAAATTATGGCAGAGGAATCTGCTTACTTAAACATGGATTAAATATCCTAAAAAAGAACACAATAAGAACTTCACTCCATACCATAAGAAAACATAGAAATTCTAGAGAAAATCTTCAGATTATAGAATGAAACTCATCTGAGCATGATGTTTCTTATCACAACCTCTAAAGAGTAGCTTACCTTGTCATGGATCCTTCATCATTTCACAAGTCACAAATTCAAGAATAGCACAAACAACTTAAACATCATCAGAGTCTTGGAAGAGACACACACACTACGCATGCATGTGTGTGTATGTGTGTACTATGTATATTTGTAATGCAAAATCATACGTTGATATAACATGCATGAGAATCCGTGCAAAATAGTTTCATAGAGCATATCAGGTCAGGCAAGAGAAACATATGATATCATCCATTTTGGTTTCATAATATGAAACTACGACCTAATATTGAATAGGGAGATGGGTAAGACAAGAACTGGACCTCCTGTGTTGCAACAAAGATAATTAGTCATCATCAACTTACACTTACTGCACCAAAAATTGCAAGTGCTTACTCATCACACCACTGTGAAATACACCCCATTTATGTAACATTAGTCCTGAATAGGACGAATTCCTAATTAGTATTTAACACATGTTTTCCATTTCTTTTTTTATTTAAATAAACATAAATTTTATATAGGATCTTTTCAATTGTTTGAGCCTTTGTAGATCAATAATAAGGTCTCTCACTTATAGACCATTACTCCACCTAGCACAACCCGGCCACATAACATGGCAAAAGTTCAGATAGGAGCTTCAAGGGAAGGCCAAACAAGATAACAAGGGTGTGATTTCTTTAAGAGACATCATTTCAAGAAATTCAAATTAATTGATAACAGTAATCTCATATAACAGTGATGATGATCAATGATTGTCATGTTAAAGTAATCAGAATACACAACACAGTCAGCCCTTAATATGATAATTCTAAAAATTGAATAAATGCCATAAGTAACAGATGTTAGCTCCAAATCCTACTCACCTGCACATCCAATCCTCTCCGCAAAACACCAGCATGCAAGCGCCCAATGGCTATCCGTCCTTTATGTTCCTCGTACTCAATATTTGTCACCTAGAAGTATGTTTAGCAGCAATCAACTATAGAATAATAATATGATATTGAAATTTGACAAGATAATACAAAAGAAAAGTTCCTTCACAAGTAAATATCTAAAATAGCTTTTTTTTCAAATTACATGACCAGATACCATGGAGCTATAATATATCATGTCAAACAAGAACTTGAATTCACACATGTAATTTCTCTTATTGCAGGATTATCTCTATCTTTCAAAATAGGGAAATTTGGCCATAAACCCCTCGTAACTTCCTTTTCTTGTTAAAAGGACCAAAAAAAAAAAATTAGTACTTTCAAAAACCTCCTTATAATTATAAAGTCCTGTATGAGGACAAAATTTATTATTTGAATATTTTATTTGACAATTATACCCTCTCTTTCTTCTGCTTCTTTTACAACACACACACACTCTCTCTTCACCAACTCGATGGTTGTTTATCATCTCCACCATCTTCATCGTCTACCAGCGTTGCTCATCCTCACCGTCGCCCGGCAACCACCATTTTTACCGTCAAACCACCACCATCTCAGATTTGATACCTACGAACTCATATTTGAGATCAATAACTTTAGATTTGACATAATAAAAATAAATAAATAAATAAAACTTAGATTTGATAGAAAAATGAGAAATCGAGATATTGCAATGAAAAATCAGGAGTTTTTTATTTGTTTGTTCATAGATCTAAAAGTAAAATTTAACTCTAGTTCGTTCATTTATTATGTACTTTATTTTTTGTAACAGTAAAATTTTACTCTGATTAACAACGTGTTGATCTGCTTAACGACAATAAAAATCATAATAAATTTTACTCTGATTCAGAGTAAAATTTTACTTATTTTTTTTATTATAGAGTAATATTTTACTCTGAATCAGAGTAAAGTTTACTATGATTAAGTAAAATTTTACTCTTTTTGTTTTATTTTTTATTACAGAGTAAAATTTTACTCTAAATCAGAGTAAAATTTATTATGATTCAAAGTAAAATTTTACTCTGAAACAAGCTGTGATGATGGTTTTATAGGAGAGTGTTGTATTATGAGCCAGAGTAAAATTTTACTATTCGAAGAACAAAGTATCATGAGAAGAAGAAAGAAAATAAGGGAGACAAAGTTCGAAAACAGAGGATCATGAGAAGAAGAAGAAGAAGAGAAAGAGAGAGAGACACACACACACACGCATAGAGAGAGAGAGAGAGAGAGAGAGCATGAACCATCAGAACCAGAGAGAGAGCGAGTGAAGGATCTCAAATCTCATATCTCAGGTCTGTGAACCGTCGGGAATCGTCATTTTCCGGCGACAACAACTATGAATGATCTCAGATCTGAGGTTGTAGATACGACGATGCGAGGATTGCTTTACAGGAAAGTGCTATATCATGAACCAGAGTAAAATTTTATTATTTGAAGAACAGTGCATCATGAGAAGAAGAAAAAGAAATAGGAAGATAGAGTTCGAAAACAAAGGATCATGAAAAGAAGAAGAAGAAGAAGAAGAAAAATAGGAGGAGAGAGAGAGAGAGAGAGCATGAACCATCAGAACCAGAGAGAGAGCGAGTGAAGGATCTCAAATCTCATATCTCAGGTTTGTGAACCGTCGGGAATCGTCATTTTCTGGCGACAACAACTATGAATGATCTCAGATCTGAGGTTGTAGATACGACGAGTGACAGTAGCGATGGAGACGGTAGAAAAAGAGTTCCATGGTGAGCAGCGGTGGTGCTAGTGGATAGCGGTGATGGCTCCGATGGAGAGCAACAATGATAAGAGCGAGATAGAGAAAAGAGAGATTGAGATGAGAGAGAGTGATTGCAATCTGATACACACACACACATATATATGAGGGTATTATAGTAAAAGAAACAAGTTTTAAAATACTAAGGGGTTTTGAAAGAATCCATATAATTTTTATCCTTTTGAAGGACAAGTTCACTGAGGGTTCCATCACCAAATCTCCCTTCAAAATATATATATCTAAATCTATAATATGGAATTACAGGATAAGTTTCACAGTGAGTGGAATATATGTAAGTTTAGTTTACAATTTTAGAGCTTAGTCCAAAGTTAATTATGCTTCCTTTGGAATAGATATCATTAACAAAGAAAGCTAAAAGAAAATTTGGCCGAAAAACGAAACTGACAACTCAGTTACTGATCATCGCACTTGATCTGCAGGTGTCTGCATTAGTTAGAAACGGAGCTATACTTCTGTTTATTGCTACATTACTAAAGGTATAGCTAATTATAAGGTGTACTTCTAGGCTGGAAGTCTCTGAAATGTCAAATCTACTAGAAAGTGTTCCACATGTTATTATTTTGGTGATCTGGCAAAATAGTTTCAGCTCCAATAATTTAGAGTTTGCACATCCTTACGGGTATTAATTTCTTATATATGAGTTACACTAATTCAGACTTTAATTAATAAATTACACTCAACTATTTTATAGATTTTTTTTGATAAATTACTCAACTATTTTATAGATGTCATAATAAAGAGACAGATTATCAGATAAAAGGTCTAATACCCTATTAATGGTACACAGTAATACTCTGTGGCTCCAACAAATAGTTGTCGGGAATAAAAATGGATAAGACAAAGATTAATGAGATGAACAACATAACAGAAGAAAAATCTACATAAAAGAGAACCACTAACAAGCATTTGGAGTGCACCATCTTTTTCTATACTCGGGCCTGGTATGCATCTAATTATGGACTCAAAGAGGGGGCCAAGATCATCAGCCAAATTATCAGGAGACAGTCCAGCCTTTCCCTTAATACCACTTGCATATATTGCTTGGAAATCACACTGCACATGGAATAAGATCAACTGGTTAGTAAACAATAGATCGCAAATGCTAGTAACATCAAAATACCTCTGAAGCGTCAGAGATGGACAAAGACAAACAAATTAACAATGTCTTGGAGGGATAGTCTTTCAAGCTTGCTAGCCTGCCCTGATTTAACGGGATTTTGGAACAGTTCCCTGGGTTCATACATGAGATATTACTAGAAATCAGAAGCCATCCCAGTTTACCAAATAAATGAACATAAGATCCTCGTTCATTAAACACTCTTGTTCCCTTTGTACAATGCCAGACTTGTGACTATTCCTGCACTCACTCTCTCTCTCTCTCTCTCTCTTGCTCCCTTTGTATAATGCCAGACTTGTGACTGTTCCTGCACTCTGTGTGTGTGTGTGTGTGTGTGTGTGTGTGTGGGTGATTCTGTCAAACCAAATGTATACCGGATAATTTTTCACAATTAACAGCCTCACAGAAGTACCTGTTCATCTGATGCATTCAGTTCAATAAATAGTTCAAAAGTGGAATTGATGACGTAATCTGGACGAGCAGAAGGTCTATCAATCTTGTTAACAACAACAACAACAGCATGGCCAAATTCTAGAGCCTTCTTCAAGACGAATCTTGTTTGTGGCATTGGACCTTCAACAGAATCTACCTAAAAGAAATGCCATATATGTTTGTTAGTAATATAATCACATGAAAGAAGAAAGAAGCTATTGAGATCATGTCATTCAAGACATGGCATAACAAGGGAAATTTAGCAAAAGAAGTCACATGACTCAAATGAGGAAAGAGAAAAAAAAAAAAAACCAATAAATCAAAGTTCAGAAGAAAAACTAATCTGCGTGAAGATTTAGTATTAGAAGAAAATACAAAGATAAAGATTGATGCTTTAAACATTTTAACAGAATAAAAATATTATTGCATTCAACAAAATAGATCACCGAGTTTGAATTAAACAAAAGTCAGCATTTGAGAAAGTGTAAAATGTTCTAACAATTAAGTTATAATCCAGCAAAGTTTCTGTTCATTGTCAAAGTGCTCACAGTTGAATTTTGTAATATGACAATAATGTTGAATATGGAGAGATAATAAGGATAGAAAGTAAAAAAGAAAGAACACAATGGGTTAACGTGGCTCAACCAATTTTGGCCTACGTCAACACACAAAAAGCCCTATGGGCTACATCTTTCACTCAGTCAACTTGGTATTCTTTTTTACATGATACACCATATGTATGGAGTGAAAGATACAATCAAATCCCTTCAGTTAAGAGATTGAAATAAATCAAAGATACAAAAAATATGATAGACACAAATTATGAGATCTCCATATATTCTGATATTTTTAACAATATATTCTTATTTTCACACTCCCTCTCAAGTTGGAACACGGAACGGTTGAAGTGAAGTGTCCAACTTGAACTTGAAAATCGGATAATCATCACAAAAATCGCAATTCAGTTGTCGAAAAACAACAACAATTGTCATAATTCCCCTCAATGACAACTTCAGAGAACATAGGTAAGGAATCAACATCTTGCAACAGAGAAATATACATGGAATCAGTCATGATGGCAACAAAAGCAACAAACCCAGAGAGAGAACGTAACAAGGCTGAAACAAAGGCAAAGCACCACAAACAAAAAGGCCAGAAAAACGATGGAGCACAAAACAAACAAGATTGCCAGAGAGGCGGCGTCCCACAAAGAATGCTACTGAACACACTAGCAACCCCAAATATGTAAAAAAGTGAAACCGTTGCTTAACATATCAACTACCAACCACCTTGAAGGGTTACCTAAGGTGAATGAGAATAATGAAAACAAACGAGCTGGAAACTCGGCATATTGCAAAATAATGCTACTAAGCACACTTGCAACCCTGAAACAAGTAAAAATCATTGAGTTTGCTTACCGTATCAACAAACCAATGGTCAACTCAAGGAAGCGGGAAAAATACCTTGATAACCAAAAATGTGGCGTGAGAAAGCACTCTAAAGAGAAATGCCTAGGGTTTGGTAGGTTTGATACCAAGTTGAATTTTGTAATATTACAAATAACGTTGAATATGGAGAAATAATAAAATTAAATAAAAAGCATACAAGAGGTTAGCTAGTCTGGGCCTACGACACAAAAAACCCTATAGACTATATCTTTCATTCGCTCAACTTGCTATTCTTGTTTACTTGATACGCCACACATATAGAAAGGGAGATACAATCAAATCCCTTCAGTTAAGGGATTGAAATAAATTAAAGATACAAAAAATCACGATGAGCACAAATCATGTGATCTCCATATACTTTAATATCTTTAACAATATAATTTTATCTTCAACACTCACTAGCTCCAATATTTTGAATACACCAGAGAAATAAAACTTTCCAAGCATTTTCACCTTCTATTCCTAATGCATACTGTTAAGGTGCCGATTATTAGATGATAGTATTTTCTAGAGATAGATAAATATTTTCTATTGTCATCATAGCCATTGCTTAAAGACTAGATTGATGCTTCTATGTAGGGTGTTTAGAATATCAGTAATAAACCAAAGTACATGCATTGGCTTTACGCAATTAAACACATTGAAGGTTCTTTCTTACCATTCAAGCATTTTATGTCTGATTTCATCGCACAGAGCTTGTGCTCTAGGTTGGATGAGGAAAGAGGGTGGTTCTTAGGTTGACTACCAGGAAATCCACTACTTAGTCATTGACTAAGATTTACCACACCACATTATGAAATCCTATTCAGTGGTTTAAATGGACAATATGTGTTCATTTTTACGGGCATGAATTGGGAAAACAATAGGTCCTCAAAATAATGGAGACAGAAACAGATATGGTAAACTCACGGAGTCACAGCAGCCTTTGAGAAGAACATTCTTGACTTGCTGCTCTTTTAGGTTTTTGATCATTTTCAAGGACAAAAACTATGGCTAATGTTCCTGATTCATGAAAACCATCTAATAGGAAAAAGGAGATGAAAGGAGGGGAATGTGGACGGGATAGAGCATATAAATTTGAATCCAGTTATTTACTGCATCCACTTCATCTTTTTCTTCCTAGTCTTTAAATTCATTATGAATATACTTACTGTTTTTTTTATTTGGAAGGCTGGATTATTTTCAGTATCTACACATATTTGCTTATGATTTTGGGGATTAAAATGGCTATTGTGCCTAAAAGTGCTTCTCTTCATACTTAGAATCATACAAGCACCAAGAAAATGGCCAAGAACCCAAGTAATAAGATCCATCAGCACACAAATTGCAAGATTACAAGTAACAAAATTGTTAGGGAAGTACCACTAGAAGAACTCCCTCCACCATGTTGAGGACGCGCTCCACTTCCCCACCAAAGTCAGAGTGCCCTGGAGTATCAATTATATTTATTTTTGTATCTTTGTAAGTGATTGATGTATTTTTGCTAAGTATTGTAATTCCCCTTTCACGCTCTATATCATTCGAGTCCATTATCCTTTCCTGTACAACTTGATTCTCACGAAATACCTGCACAGAGGAGTATTTATAATAATTAGTCTCATCATTCTACCATGATCACTAGCAAAACAAAAAAGAGGTGATACCATAGTTAGCAGTAACATTAAGTTTCATGATTGTTAGTGATAATAAGTGGTAGTAGTACAATAATTTTTGGAACTGTCCTAGTTGGCCTTTTAATGGAATAAAGCTTCTTACAGATTTCTAACAATACATTAATGTATCTCCATAAACTGCATATCTAGGCATCATCTCTCATAAGTTCATCAATCAAAGTCAGCATCACAAGACACAGATAAACTTGGTCAATAGAACATCATTATATAACAATATCACCAGGATCTATCAATGCAAGAAATATTTGTAAGTCCTATTGTCTGAATATAGATTTCATAACTAATCTCTCTATCCCATTCCTTTTGTCCACTGTGTAAAATTCAACCTTTAAAGAGGCTGTTAAACCTGACTAATATAGCATGAATTTTCAAAATTATCCCTCTGTTTTACTCTACTAAATGCATTTACAAAAGAGGATAATATTTTAAAATCATAACATCAAGTATCTTGAATTTTCAAAATGGACAACCATTTTGGAACATCCCAAATTAAATTAGTGGAGAAAATGAATGGGGCAGAGGGAGTACAGAAATTAAAGAAAGAAAAGAAAAAAACAGAAATGTCATTGGCATCATCATACGAGCTAATTACTATCGTTAGTATTATTGCACTACCATTGGAGTTAGGAACATTAATTTTAGTCCACAAGTTCAATTCATTTAAACCATATATCTAAATTAACCATGGTGCGTGAAGCTTTTAAAATTAGTATGTTAGGCAAATGTGCTAACTCCAACTGTGTGGGCCCGCATTTTTCTAAATTGTATATTATTGAAAACCAAGTTTTAAATGAAGGAGCCGTAATATCTCTAACAACATCATAATATCTTCCAGGAAAAAATATTTAGTGGTAGAAATCTTAGCAATTGCCGCCAAACTCCAAAAAAATATGTCTACGAGTACACCATATAGTTCTGGATACTTTACTAAAAAACATCAAAGCATGAATCCACTGTTATTAACCATATGCAACTGGAGCACTAGCACATGCAACCTAGGCAATCAGGTATATAATCTCTAATTATAATTTGGGAAATGTTTGCAAGGAAAAACAATTAGATATGGAATTTGTCAAATTATACCTTTGCTTGTTTCAACATTGCATCCACCAATGTCGTTTTTCCATGATCTACATGAGCAACAATCGCTATGTTCCTTATGTCACTTCTTCTCTTCAATTGGCTTCTTCTCTCTAAGGCAATGTCACAAATAAATTATTAGAAAAAGGTTAAATAATATGCTAAGTTCATGTAAACAAGGTGTCTACTCGTAGTTAGAAAATTTAACACTGTAGAAGCTAGGGTGCCTGTTATTTATTAGCTAAGAAGTATGGACACAGACACGTGACACGACATGAATACGACACGGACACGCCGACACGTTAATTTTCAAAAAATGCAGGACACGACACGTGAGGGACATGCATGAAATATATAAATTTATATATTTATTATATGTTATATATATATATGAATATATCATTCAAAAATAATAAAAAATGGAATGTAACACTAATTCCTATAAATTTATATGGTCTTTGTTTTATTATTATATCTTAAGTTATTTGGTTCAAATTTATAATTAGTTTCACATATGTCTAACCGATAGATACGTGTATCCTCCAAGTGTCCAAAGAGTATCTGGATCTTTAAAATAGAACACGTTTTGAAGAGTATCGGACACGTGTCCTAAGAGTCTCCAAAGAGTGTCGGTGTTCGACACGAACACGACACCGATACGTCACCTTCTTAGAAGTGTCCATACTTCTTAGTTTATTAGTAAAATAGTTCCTTTGAAGTTTTGCTCATGACCATATTACATATTCACACAAATGATCTTCGAGCAATTATTAAGTCTCTAGACAAAGGCGTTTGTGTATGTATATTATATACTAGCGGTTGGGCACACGCGCGATGCGTGTGCAAACTCGTTTGGAATTATAACGTGAAATTCACATTAAATTTTCTAATAATGCACATATAAATCACATGTATAACTATGTGTAATGTAACATTTGATATTAAGATATTGATAAATAAAATATACATATGTTAAAATTTGTTCGATTTATTTTTAAAAAAATATATAATATTTACTAATCTTAACTAAAGAAAACCTTACAACAAAAATTCATATAAAATCTCAATTTGGTAAGATAAGACTAAAGATCTTACAAATCTTGCAAAAAATATATAAGATACATGTAAAAATTAATTTACAAACAATGTACATTGATCAAATTAGAATTTTACGTTGTTAAAATGAGCCACAATAGTACACATGCGTACTTTGACTAATAAAGTACAATAATAATTTTGGTTTTCTAATTGGCTTATTATATATAGGCACAAAATGTAAATATTATTAAAGTTTTTTATAAATGAAACTAAAATTTAAAAATTACATTTTGACATAGATTAACATAGTCCAAATCAAATGGAAAAGAAATCCAAAACTTTTTAAGTCTAAGTCTAAACAACAAATGATGTACATAACATTATATATATAAAATTGTTGTATACATTAACTTGAATCCAAAATAAACAAAATTGTGAATTTTCAATTTAGAGATGTGAAGGGGCTAAAAAAATAAATGACTACCGTCGTCTTGGAGAGGGTAACAACGCCTTCGACTTTGGAGTTGCCCTTGAGGACGGCTACGGCTTTCTTTGCGGCGGCGAGAGAAGGAAATGGATTGGGGGTAAATTTGAGGAGGGAGAGGGCGTGGAATGAAGAGAAGGGAGATGGGTTCTTGTTGTTGTGAGGGGTTGGGGAAGAGAATAGTGGGTAATGAAGAGTATGGGATGGAGTAGTTGAAAGAAGTTACTGATGGAGAAAGTGGAAAACATGGGATGTGGTTTTTTTTTTTTGGTCAAATCATCTAATTTACACGTGGACATGGTTGAGGCTTCATGACACCAAAATTGGTGTTTGCTTTTAATAATAGAATAGATATATAGGAGCGACGCCACTCTTGGATGAGCAATGTCACCTGAAGCCCCCGAAAAACAATATATATATATATATATATATTTATGACATATAAATTTTGTTTTAAGAAAATTCAAGATTGTTGTCAACACCGAAAAAATAGGTTTGAACCCTCGTATATTTATACTACATTTCACTACAACTTTTGAAAATGTCTTGCCTATATTTCGTTAGAACATGAATATCTAAGATATTTTTGGCCTCGTTTGGGAACATGCTATTTTAGTAACTTTTGGCTTTTTATGAAAAGATATGCAAAAAAATAGAGAGAGTGATGTGACAACTTATAGTTACTTTTTGACTTTTTGGCTAAAATACTTAGTTCCCAAACATAGCCAATTCAATTGTCAAATTTGTTGGCCCAAATTTAAGTTTTTGCCCTTTGCAACAAAAAAATTCCTCAAACAATGTCTTTCTATCCTTTACTTGTGTGGTTTTATTTTTCATTTGAAAAATGAAAATTAATGAGACTGAGCTTGTCATCTATCGATTTATTTACATAAACTTCTTTTTTTCTCTTTAGGATATGCTCACTTTTGCCATAAAATATGGTCTGATCATGTAATTGATGGAAGCAAAGCATAACGGCAATTTTAATATAGGAAGAAAATTTGTTCAAGTGATGACTTCTTATTTTAAAACCCATTTATTTTATTTTTTATTTTCAATTTGTTGATCATTGATGGGGTGCTCTATTTTGATTTGGTTTATACTTAAGAATTGCTCACAAGCAAATTGATGAAATAATTTACCAAAATACTATCTTATTTTGGCTTCTAAGATATTTGTAAGCTTTGAAATCATCATTGTGCTTTATACTCTTCGAATTTTGGTTTACAGGTAGGCAAATCCAATTGGCTGAAATATAAGGCTTTGTTGAATTAAGAGTTATTTTCTTCATATCTATGTTTGCCAACACTAGTTTTACTCATTAAGATTGCAGAAAGTGTACCGGTCTTTAACAGATTTCAATCCGGCAAAACATTATCTGCTTGAAAGAGCATAGTCAGTGGCGTTAATTTAGATGGCTAAGGATAACAAATCGCCATAATAAATTGTATTTTTTTATCAATAACTTGTCCATGCAGAAGTTAGGAGGGCATGATAGCTGATGTGTGATTTGTTCAAAATAGGACCTAAATTAGATGGAATTTTTTTTTCACTGTGCGCAAATTGATTGTATATATGCATCAAAATGACTGCTGTTTGTGTTTTTTTTTTCCCATTAGTTCTACAAGATGAAATGAGGTTGTTATGCAACAAATTCATATAAGGTTGTATATATGAAAATTTGTTAAGGTCAATTGTAAAAGTTCATTTACATGTCTTTTTTATAAAACAATAGAATTATATATTAAAATTCTCATTTATTTATTATTTGAGAAGTTTAAATTAGTTTGTCTGTTTATTAGAAATTGGAGATGGATATTGATAAGTGAGAACTTTTTAAAGGATTTGTAGAATTTAAGTTAAAAATACTTGAAGTTGCCATTGCTAATACATACACATATATGCAGCCACGTGAAAGCAAATTCAGATTATAGACGAGGGAAAGTAGTGGAAAATCAGCATGGAGAAATTGAAATTACCAGGGATGGCTTTGGTAGCACCAGTGACGAGCATTTGACTTAAGTGTGAATTGAATTTCTAGAATGGAAAATGAATGGTGTTTTGGTGATTAAAGTTGGAGAAAAAGTACGGCCAAAGAATTGGTTAACGAGGAGAGGAGAAAAAAACAATTGAAGCTCCTCTTTGACATGAGAAAAGGGACACTTTTTCACTTAAATGTTTTTATAATGGATCCCAAATCAATTAAAGATCAGTTCTATCACCATATGTGCTCCATCTCAACCCTCAATTGATCCAATATCGCATAAATATCTCTACTTTTAGGGAGATCTCTGTTGCTTGCTACAAACCAATGGGTCTTATTATCTATCTCAATCCAGCTACAACCTGCTTCTTTACTCAACTTTAAGTCATTCATTACAATCCTTGCCCTGGAAGCCTCATTGAACACGTCCTCTCATACATATTTGAAACAAGTATGTACGACCCTGCTTCTTTTGGTTCCAGATCAAGCAAACATTTAGAAGCCATCTTGCCAAAATTGAGATCCCCACATTGCTTACACACATGGACCAAAGTTCTCCAAAGAAATTGTGAGTCTGAAAATGGGCTTTCATTAATAAAATCCACGGCTTCAGAGAAAAGGCCAGCTTCCCCTAAAAGATCAACCATACAAGCAAAATGCTCAAGTACTGGTCTAATCCCATATTTCATCTCCATTTCATTGAACAAGCAAAACCCATAATTTCATAAACCGGAGTAACTACAAGCTTGAAGAACAGCCAGTATTGTAATCTTGTCAGGGAGAAATCCTTTACTTACCATTTCTTTAAAAAGAGAAACAGCTTCTTTCCCTTGCCCATGGAGGGCATGAGCAGAAGCCATGGAATCTGTAAATCCAGTTAAAATTGCATTGAATGGGGTAGTGTTTATGACCGAGAGACCATTGAGAAACAATCTTGCAGATTGAAGTTTCTTACATATGGCATATAAATCAATTAAAGCAGTGCCCACATTAACATTAGAGACCAGACAAGGTGACGAAGATCATGGAAAGAAGAAAAAGAGCAAATCTAGAATATACATTTAGGGCATCAAGAATTGAAGATTTGGAATAATTTTGAATCTTTATGTCATTATAGTAGGTTTTAGTAATTAAGGATATAATGGTAATTCCAATAATTGTTGGACATGAATTGTAGGGATCACCAATGGGTTTTATTTTGGGTCAAGTTATTAAATGAATCTTATATATGGGTTTTATTATGTTTAAAATAATTTTCGTAGTCAAAAGTCTAAATTTCCTATTTTGATATTGAAGTAAAATTAGAAGTCATTAAAGTTTCCTAGTATAATTGAAGTATAATTAGGAGTCATAGTTGGTCTAAAATATTAGTAGTTGCTAAATATTTTTAGTTTCTAAATTTGAGTAATAGTCCTTACAAAATTAGGAGAGTTTTTAGCCTATAAATAGGTGTGTGGTCTCAATGATTCAATAGTAGAGTTAATATTATAAAAATTTGATATTGTGTTTGTGTGATTGGCCTATCCCTTGTGAGTGTGAAGCACCTCTCTCTCTCTCTCTCTCTCTCCTCCTCCTCCTCCTTCTTCTTCTATCCAACAAGGTTACTA